GGGGGCTGCTCTGTCACACTCCAAGAACAGACAGAGCCAGGGTGGAGCCAGGGTCCCTCCTGCAATGGAGAAGTTATGAGTTATGGGCAGCAACATCCTGCCCTTTGCAACTCACGGGTGCTATTTCTCAACCTTCCCCTGGAACATCAGAATACCAGTGCAAGGTGAAGACGGCCCTGAGGAGAATGTTTTTCCTCACTGTCCCCCTGCCAATTTGCAATGCGCAAAAGACAGAAAGAAGTAGTTAATGGTTAGAGGACAGTGTGTCTGTGTGTGTGTGTGTGCGCGTACGTGCAAGTGCGTGTGTGTGTGCGTGTGTGTGTGCGTGCGTGTATGTGTGTGTGTGTGCAGTTAGACCCATATACGGGCCCATTTGTATGTGTGAGGGGTGGGAAGTGGGAAGATAAAAAATGTAGAGTTTCATCACAATTATATTGCACATTTTTAATTATAGGGAAAAGATAAGAAGGCAATGCACTCGAATGCTATTCTTGGTAGGTTGTTAATTTTTAAACTAGGAAATGAATGTTTCTTAAAAGAAAAAAAAAACTTTCCTTTTTACATGGGTTGGCCCACATGCAAATTGGCAGACAGAATCTACAAGTAAAGAGAAATGCTTAATTCAGCTTTTGTGTAATGAAATTAATTTTAATATAAATAAGATTTTAAAAGGATAAAGACAATTTAGAATGTTAATTTCAAATTTTGCTTTGCTATTGAAAGAACTATTAGGAAACAGGGAAACAAAAACACTTTCATTGGGTTAAAACAAAAACTTTCACTAACTTCGTTGGTTTGGTGATCAACAAGAGCAATATGATGGTTGTTGTCATCTTTGTTTATGATACCAGAAGATAAGGGAGGCTTAGAGGTCAGAAGTAGACTTCTCTGTGCAGATGAGAAACCTAAACAATGCAAGTCCTCAAAGAGAATTCTTTTGCTCATATTTCCTGAATGGCCAGTTCCATATCACATTAGCCAAATATTTATAGAATTTCCACTTTTCCATTATGCTTTACAGACAAAACAAAGGGTATAATTCATTTGTATGGAAAAAATTCATTGAAATCCAATGTGATTTGAAGTCAAATGCCATTTACAGGCTATCAACATATGTATGTCCCAGTTTATGCATGTTTAAGATCAACCCATGTGGGTACCAGTTCACGCATGTTTAAGATATGGAGGGTAATTTCTACCTCTCATGATTGTCTGGGGAATTTTGTTTGTTTGTTTGTTTTTGAGATCGAGTTTTGCTCTTGTCACCCAGTGCAATGGTGTGATCTCAGCCCACTGCAACCTGTGCCTCTCGGGTTCAAGCAATTCTCCTGCCTCAGCCTCCCGAGTAGCTGGGATTACAGGTACACGCCACCACATCCAGCAAATTTTTGTAATTTTAGTAGAGATGGGGTTTCACCATGTTGGCCAAGCTGGTCTCAACTCCTGACCTCAGGTGATCCGCCCACCTCGGCCTCCCAAAGTGCTGGGATTACAGGCGTGAGCCACCATGCCCGGCCTGTCTGGAGAATTTAAGGGTGTAATGTCTGGTAAGGCACTTGCCAAAAATAGGATGACATTCAGTAAATGGTAGATCTTTTCCATCCCATTCCACATCTCACCCATTGTCCACCACCCCACCCAAATACACACACACACACACACACACTTTACAAGTCTTAATCTGCAAAGTTTCACTGATACATCCCATGGAAAAATTAAATGAACCATTTTCAAGAAGAAATGCCCCACTGCACACAAGAAGACTGTAAAGGGCATTCCTGCTCCCAGGGAAGAGGAGCTGGTGACTGGAAACAGCAAAAGGACACCTTATTCCCCTGCCCTCCCCCTGTGCTGGCAGGAGTAGAATTAGAAGATGCCAGAGCACCCAAATCTGGCTAGGAATCTGCTGAGTGAAAGGCAGAGCCTGGTGAACTTGGCTGATTCTGAGGTCAAGGTTGCATATTCAAGCCCCATAAGGAAGATTTATCCTGGCAACAACCTCTCCCTGGCCCTGGCCCATTCATGGATGTTTCCCATTGCATGGAAGAGCTTTGTCAGGGGGTGGGGTAGAAAAGGCTAAACACAATCTGTTCCCATCTTCATAAAAATAATAATTTTTAAAAACACAAAACATTGTTCCTCCTGACAGTGGGGCCAGATGTCCTTTTCAAATATCAATACCTGGGAGAAGCCGCAAAGAAGCAGAGCTCTGGTGGAGAATCACGTGACTTAGGGAAAACATTCAGTTGCTATAACAAGTGTCAAAATAATAGTGGTTTAACATGGTAGTTTATTTCCTCTCTCACATAAGAATTCAAGTATAAAAAATTCAAGGCAATAGGGCAGCTCTGCAAGATGAGGAACCCAGGTTCCTCCTAGCATACACCCATGACTCTACAGCAAGAGGTTTCCATTTTGCAATCTAAGATGGCTGCTGTACCTCCACCATTACACATATGTCTCAGCCAGAAAGACTGGAAAGAGCGAGGAAGGAGCAAAGGCAAGGCACAACCCTTCCCTTCTGTTTAAAGGCACAATTAGAAAGTTGCACACGTGACTTGGGCTCACATCCCAGTAACTAGAACGCAGCTACCTAGCTGCAAGGGAAGCTGGGAAATGTAGTCTTTCTGTTGGGTGACTGGCTGCTGAGCACAATTTAGGTGGTGGATTGGTTTCCTGGGGCTGCCATAACAAAGTTCCACAAACTGGATGGCTTAAAACAAGAGAGATTTGTGCTCTCACAGTTCAAGAAGCCAGAAGTCTGAAATCAAGGTGTCAGCAGGGTTGGTTCCTTCAGGAGGATCTGAGGGAGAAACTGCCCCACACCTCTCTCCTAGCTTCTGCTGGTGTCTGGCAATCCTTGGCACTCCTCGACTTGTGGCTGCATCATTACGGTCTCTGCCTCCCTTGTCATATGGCCTTTGTGTCTCTGTATCTAAATCTTTTCTTTTATCAAGACAAGAGCCATTGGATTTAGGGTCCCACTCCCAATCTAGTATGATCTCATCTTAAATTTGATGACATCTACAAAGTTCTTATTTCCAAGTAAGGCCATATTTACAGGTACCAGGAGTTAGCACTTGAGCCTATCTTTGGAGAAGACACAATTCAACCCAACAGAGGGGCTTCCTGCCAAAGGAAGAAGAGGAGAGTGGATACTGAAGAACAGCAACCCCCTTGCTGCAGGACCCCAGGGAGTCGTGCTGGAAGACAGCCACTGTGATGTCAGAATGCACACTCTGTTCCAGTTGCTTGCAAGTGAACCTGACTGACATCTTCCTCTGCAGACACTTCATCTTCCAGGCACGTCATATGACCTGTGTCTCCCAGGCTCATCTGTTCTGCTCCCACAGGTCCACGTCTCAAAATGCCCTCCCATGCCCTTCCCCTCAGCCAACCCCTAAGGAAGAAGTTGCTCCCATAGGCTTTTCTCCTTGCCCCAGCCCACAGTGGCTGATAGCTGTCACCCTGGGGTTCCATTATGACTTTTATGAAACCTAGGCACTTTCCCTCATGGGCCCTTTTCCCTATGAGCAAAAACTAATCCTTATTTAAATTTTTGTTTAAATGTTTATATCATGCTGGACTGGGTGTGGTGGTACACATCTGTAGTCCCAGCTACTCAGGAGGTTGGGCCCAGAAGTTTAAGTCCAGCCTGGGCAACATGACAAGACTCCCATCTCAAAGCAAATAAATAAATGTTGTATTAAAAAGCATTTTATGATTGCACTTGGTATAAAGATGAATGTATTAATGCTATGCACAAAAACATTCTCTTCAACCTAAAAGATATTTTCCTCATCATTTTAAGGAAACTAAAACATTTCTCCAGATCATTAAAAGTATTATGGGCACTAGGTACTGCCCTGTCTGCTGAATGGATAAGTCAACTTTACTGGAAAAGATGCTGAAAGGGACAACAGAAAAAAAGCCCAGCCACCAAATCTGACCACAGACTTGCTGAGCAGAGAGTGTGAGTGCCATCTACCACCTCTTCCACCCCCAACAGGGAGGACACTTTATGTGCTCTCAATACAAATTGGGAATATGCAACAAGGTCTCAAGCCACTGACTGGTCAGAAAAGACAGCCTCCGCCGGCTGTGGTGGCTCATGCCTGTAATCCCAGCACTCTGGGAGGCCGAGGCGGGTGACTTGCCTGAGCTCAGGAGTTCCAGACCTCCCTGGGCGACGTGGTGGAACCCTGTATCTACTGAAATAAAAAAATTTTTTTTTAATTGCCAGGCGTGGTGGCACGCGCCTGTAATCCCAACTACTAGGGAGGCTGAGGCATGAGAATCACTTGAGCCTGGAAGGTGGAGGTTGCAGTGAGCTGAGACCACGGGCTCCATGCATTCCAGCCTGGGCTACAGAGTGAGACTCCATCTCAAAAAAAAAAAAAAAAGAAAGAAAGAAAAAAAGAAAAGAAAAGGAAGAGAAGAGAAGAGAAAAATGAAAAGGTAGCCTCCTCCCAGAGCTGTGAAATAAGCATGCTTCACCTCCCACCATTGTTCTCAAACACAACACAACTTAAAGAGTGGCCACCCATGCAACACGGTGGATACAAAGCCTTTATTAAAGGATGCGAGAAACCTCCCATCCTTCAGCATCATGAACTGTTCAATCCTTTGCCACAAATCTGAACTATCCCAAAATATACTTAATCCCAAACTAGCCTTCCTTCTTATTTTATAACCCATATAGATTTCAAAACTATTATTTTCTAATGTATTTCGTTTCAATTCACAAACTGGTTTGCAAGATATGTTTGCTAGGGTGACCAACTCATCTTGGTTGGCTCAGAACTTTCCTGGTCTTGGCCCTGTTTCATACCAGAAAACCTCTCAGTCCCAAGCAAACCAGGACAGTTGGCCAACCTATAATGATATCTAAGCTTTGTCATCCTCTTCTGAATTGTATATGTTTAGATCAACAAGACAAAAATCACCAAGAAATGTTTTAAAGCAGCAATTGTTGTTCTGGAAAGTTCAAGTATGGCCCAATGCAACAGCTCAGCAAGATGTACGCAGGCACTCGATATGGCCCAACCAGGTCCCGCTGGCTCTTCAGGCAACGTTGGCATGGGAAGGGGTGGCTATGAGTCATCTTCTTTTTTCCTGGGTTTCTCAGAATGGTCTCTTCCATAAATATTTTAGATGAAGGAGGAGGATTTGGGTTTCTGCCAAAAGAGAAAAAGGATTCCAACAGTGGTTCCCAAACCACAGTGCACTTAGGAATAGCCTGAAGAACTTGTTAAAAATAGACAGGTCTGGGCTCTATCCCCAGAAAGTTTAGCTTCAGAGAGTCTGAGAAACACTCTTGTTAACAAGTACCCTGGCTGATCTTGATGCATATTATTGGTGGACCGCACTTTTCAAAACTCTGGATTTGGGGCAAAGTTGTGAATGTTGCTTCCTCTTCTGTCTGAAGTGAAGCAGGACCAGAGCTTACAAGAAAGGAAGGGATAACTGAATGCAGTAATAAAGAGGGAGGCACTTAGTGTCAGGGCTACTGTTATCTAAAAAGCACTTGCTTGTAAATCTTGAGATTGTTGGAATATCTTAGGCAAAGCATATCTGGTTTAATCAGGGTGGCTATGCTTTACATACACATACACTCTGTGTGGTACATAGATCCATACAACTGTAATGTAGATACAGATAAAGCATACACGATAGCAGCCATGAGGCTGATTTGTATATAACAGGCACTTACAAGCGTTTATATTTATGTGTGTGTGTGTGTGTGTGTGTATGTCATGGTGGTATGTTTAACATACATAGTAACAAATCAGTAGTCCTGTTTTGATCATGTTAAATCTGAGATGGCCATAAGATAGCCAAATGCAGGTGACAAACAGGCAGTTGGATCTAGGCACCTACAGCTCTGGGATTTGACCAGGGGTCAAGTTAGGAGTAGAGATGCAGATTTAAGGAGTTATCGGCATATAATCCCCAGGGCATCAATAAAACAGAAGCCACAAGGCCTGAGGTTTTCATGCCAAGTCAAGGTCACAGGCCCCATGGCTTTACAACGTGAGCTAGGTTCACTAAATGAAACCAGAAACTAGTAGAGCTTAGGCTATCCATAAACAGGAACTAGAATGTCCTTGTTCATCAGCTCAGGGTACAGCTCAAAGGCCATGTGTAGAAGTCCTTTGCCTCTCAAGGTGAAAACCCTGATTCAAGTTAACCCTCAGCGCAGAAACTCATAGGCCCCAGGCTGAGGCAAGCCTAGTTGCCCCATAGGCAGGCCTCCACAACACAACAAAGAGAGAGAGAGAGAGAGAGAGAGAAAAGAGAAAGAAAGAAAGAGAGAGAGAGAAGAAGGAAGGAAGGAAGGAAGGAAGGAAGGAAGGAAGACGTGAACAGGAAAACAAATTCCACAAACAACATCCCCAGGGGAAGGTGCACTTGTGCCAAAATCACAAAATATATGAGGAAGTCCAAAATCAGGGCAGGCGATTTACAAACTCCACATTACCGCCATCCCTATCTCTAAAAAAGGAAGAAATCCTATCTAAAGAGGTAGGGATAATAGAACAATCTGAAAGGGACTTTGAAATCAGCACAGTCAGAAAGAGCACAGTTGGAAACAGAAAATTCAGAGTCTTGAAAAAAAGCAGGACATGCTGAAATTGGTGTTTTGGAATGATTAGAGCAGCAATGACATGCAGAATTAAATGGAGAGGAGTGGGATTGGAAGCAGCAAGACCAGCCAGGAGGCTTCATGCAGTCTACCTACAGGTAATACTTTCTCTCGCTCCTGAAGTCTTGTAAAATTTAACTGGCGTATCTCTGATGGCCTTACGACCTCACCAACTTTATTTATTGTTTTATAACTGCTTTCACATATATAAACCATATAAAGGAACTCATTGAACTCAATGCCCCTTGGAGTGATGTGTTTGTGTAAATAGCTAGATAGTGCATGGATAGATAGGTGATGGGTGCATGGATGCATGCATCTATGGATCTATATACCACACAGAGTGTATGTGTATGTAAAGCATAGCTGCCCTGATTAAACCAGATATGCTTTGCCTAAGATATTCCAACAATCTCAAGATTTACAAGCAAGTGCTTTTTAGATAACAGTAGTCCTTCCTTCCTTCCTACCTTCCTTTCTTTCATAAATAAATTAACCAACAAATGAACAAGAGTCATGTAAGAAACTGATTGAATAGAACCTCTAGCTTGAACTAAAGCACAAAATGAAGCTGATGGCCTACCATTAATTGATCTCCCTAGGACCTGATAGTCTCCCTAAACTGGCTGTCTTCTTCTTATCCCACGGGCACATCATCTATTAATGCATTTAGAAGTCAGCTAAATTCAATGGCAGCTTTAAGCCCTGTAGCAATAATGAGAATCTTTTGCTATGTGTGAGTCTCCCTGGTGCAGATTGCTATATAACCTGTCTTCCTTTTCAAATTGATTGTCAGTCCATAAGCATTTGCCTATAGGTTACAATGGGCCTTGACCTAAATCTGACTGCTGTATTCCTAAATAGGTAGAACCCTTCCCCTTCCCTCTTTAAGAAAAAACACCCTAATGCAATGACCAAGCCTTGGGAAACATGAATAACTTAGTGACTTGCACAGGGACACAAACCTGCCATGCTGAATAGCCAAATAGCAAAGATCTCAGGACCCCCTGAGAGGCCTAGAGTCATACTTATCTCCAAAGCATGGTGACAATCATGATGATGACAATGACACAAAGCTGTCTTTTATTGACTATCTAATACTGCTAGGCATCATCCTAGGCATCTTCAATACAATCTGGCTTATAATCCTCACAAGAAACCAGTAAAAAAGTTACCTGCATGCTGTCTTAGTCTGTTTTATATTGTTTATAACAGAACACCAAAAACTGAATAATTTATAAAGAAATGGAATTTATTTCTTAAAGTATGGAGGAGGAGAAGTCCAAGGTCAAGGGGGTGCATCTGGTGAGGGCCTTCTTGCTGGTGGGAATTCTCTGCAGAGTCCTGAGGAGGCTGAGCATGCTAGCTCAGGTCTCTCTTCCTCTTCTTATAAAGCCACCAGCCTCACTTTCATCGTAACCCATTAATTCATTAATCCATCAATGGACTTCTCCATTAATGAAGGTAGAGCCTTCATGATTCGATCACCTCTTAAAGGCCGCACTTCTTAAAAGTTCCTCATTGGGGATTAAATTTCAACGTGAGTTTTGGAGGTAACAAACATTCAAACCATAGCACATGCCCATTTTGCAGATGAGAAAACTGGAGATGAAAGAAGTTAAATAAATTTCCCATTGTAAAAATCTAGTAAGTGTCAAAGCCAGGATTCAAACCCAGATCAGCCTGAATGCAGTCTGTGTTCTTTCCACTTCCCGACACTGCTTCCTCTGCCGATGCTCATGCGCTAGCAAAACAGCAAGTGGCACTCAGCCACTTTGAGTGATTGTCTCAAGGACTTCAGATGATAGACATGGGCTCTAGAGCTGGAATTGTTTCCCAGGAAACTATAAACACACACAGGCACCAGCTTGCTGTGTTTTGAGTCCAATCTCATCCATGGCTTGCAAGGGAAAGACTAACTCAACCTGGTCTTTCATGCTGCCTCCATTTCACTCTATAGAGAATGAGCTGGTCCAACCCAGTTCCTGATTTTTGTGTCCCCATTGTGCGACCAGCTACTTACCTCCATGGCCAAAACAACTGCAAACAAATAGCTCTGAAATGTTAATGGTCTTCTTGGTGGATACAGAATAAGGCATAATAGGGAAAGACTATTCATAGCATGTTCTAGTACCTGCACTCCATTACCAGTGCAGTCTGGACTCATTGTACTGACTTGCTTTTTAGGCTCAAGTTAACCATAGAATTAATTATTTGAAATGATTTCAAGAAGCTTAAGATGAATTATTTCCTTTAAAATGATTCTACAAACCATATGACCATCAACAAGACAATGGGAGAAGTTGTGACCCATTCATACTGTGGAATATTATACACTTGTAAAAATAGATGAATTACAACTACTTGCGACAACATGGAGGAAGCTTAGAAACATAATGTTGGTTGAAAAACCAAATCCCAGAAATCTACATACAACATGTGGTCATTTTTAGAGGTGTTTGCAAATTTTTTGACACCCTACCCTTCCAAAGATGGAGCCTAATTTCACTTTTCTTGAATGTGGGCCAGATTTAGTACTTATTTTTTTTTTTTTCTTTTTAATTTTTTGTAGAGACAAACTCTCACTATGTTGGTCAGTCTTGTCTCAAACTACTGGACTCACACAATCCACCCACCTCAGCCTCCCACAGCAATAGAATTACAGGTGTGAGCCACCACACCTCGCCTAGTGACTTCCCCCCACACCCCGAGACAGGGTTTCACTCTGTTGCCCAGGCTGGAGTGCCATGACACAATCTCCTCTCACTACAACCTCCACCTCCCAGGTTCAAGCGATTGTCCTGCCTCAGCCTACCAAGTAGCTGGAACTACAGACACGTGTCACCACGCCTGGCTAATTTTTGTATTTTAGTAGAGACAGGGTTTCACCATGTTGGCCAGGCTGGTCTTGAACTCCTGGCCTCAAGTGAACCGCCCACCTTGGCCTCCCAAAGTGGTCTTTAACATGAGTCACTGCGCGGCCCTATTGACTCATTTCTAATGAACATGGAAAAAGCGATGGTATGTTACTTCCATAACTAAATCAGAAAAAGATATCACCACTTCTGCCTTACTCTCTTGTATCATTTATTCTAGAAAAGCCAATCACGACTGGGCACAGTAGTTCATACATGCTTGTAATCCCAGCACTTTGGGAGGCTGAGGCAGGCAGATCACTTGAACTCAGGAGTTTGAGACCAGCCTGGCCAACATGGTGAAACCCCGCCTC